TGAACATTACTTGGTAATTTTTGTATAACTCAAGGGCTTTAGAAACATTAAATTTTGTCGTAGACAAAAATTGAAATGCAGTTTGTTCATTTTTTGAGGTTCTTGTCAAAGAAAATCTCGATAAAAAATCATCGATATCCTATATTTAAAATCACGTCAATAAACGAACGTAAGTAATATAGCATAAATTATAAAGGGTTTAAGAATTAAGAGGATACATGCCTTTTGTTCGTGATCTGAAAGTGATAACACACCAAATTTATCCTCGGACAAAATAGTGTGAGATAAATTATGCTGATTCATTGTTGGATAAAATAGTTAGATGAGAGGAGTTGGTAATCATCCGAAGAAAATAATCCAAATGACGCACTAATTTGTTTTGTGCATAAAGCTATTTTAATTACTTTAATAATAATTTGTTATTATTCAAATGTATTGAAAAATATATGTATATTATTTAAACGTTAATATATTTGATTAATAACACTTGCTTTTTAATATAAATTTAATATAATATCAATAATACTTATTTTTATTTTTAAATTGTTTGAAATTAATCAGTTTCGAATTTTACCCCATCTTACCTTCAGTGTTACCATGTCTCGTCGCGTTGATTACTCCGCCAAGATATATGTCGGTGATCTCCCCAGAGAAGCTTCCGAAAGAGAGATCGAGCAAGCCTTCCGATCATACGGCAAGCTACGCAACGTCTGGGTTGCCAGAAATCCTCCGGGCTTCGCTTTCGTTGAATTTGACGACGCCACAGACGCTCGAGATGCTGTCCGTGACCTGGACGGCACGTAAGTATTCTACATATTAATTATACATGTTTTTAAGGATAATATGCGGCGTTCGGGCAAGAGTTGAACTAAGCACGGGGAAATCCAGACCCAAGCCATGGCTTCGTGGTGGCAGAGGCTCCTCACCCAGACGGAGTCGCCCCTTTGACCCTTCGCACCGCTGCTACGAATGCGGGGAACGCGGCCATTATGCCTACGATTGTCGTCGACGGAACGGTCGCAGCAGGAGATCTAGGTAAGACAGCTTGCCTGTCGTCTATAGGCTATAATTACCTTGACTAATCGCTGTATGTGTTCTTGCAGTTCACCACTGCGTCATTCTGCTACATTCACCGTGGCATTTTTGGCTCGTCTATTATGAGTGACTCGTCCCTTCATGGAGAGGACTTATTTTCATCCACTCCCTCAGAGATGACAATACTGCACCATTTTCCGACACGCATAACGACACCCTAAATAAGTTATGACGTCCATCTAAATCGGCGACGGGTGATCTAGCCAGACCCATTCGGCGCGCTCGCCCCGCCCGTCCCTTATAATTTCGTCTAGAGCACAACACCCAGGCCTCATGATTTCTGATTTGCAGCACATCATTGTCTCGATCTTGATTTTCAGCTCAACTAGCTATCTAAGCTGTAAGTTGGTCTTTTTTCAGGGCCTCCATTGGAGCACTCCTGCAAGGCCCTTATCTCTTCTTTTGTCTCTCGTTTCAGGTCACGCTCGTGGTCGCGCGGATCCAGGAGCCGAAGCAGGAGTCGATGAAGAAGTGAATAAACGCATTTACTGTCTCTTTTCTTTAATGTTATTTTATATTATTAAATTAAAGCTTGTATGTCCAATGTGCTTAATCTGATCAGGGATCCTCAGC